GGATTTTCCTTTATTTTTAGTGTTTTTTCTACATATTTTAGTTATTTTTTTACCTTTTAGCTGCACTTAGGGGATTTTTGGGAATCAAGCATTTTAGTTAAAAAAGTAAAAAAAATAACCTCAAGTTGTCAAATTATTATATCTATTTTTTAATACATTTTTTTTTGTAAAAAATAAAAGAATCACTAAGAACTAATTCACAAACAAGTCCCTAGTGTTGATATATCTATTTTTTTTTTATTTAAAAAAACTAAAATATAAAATAATTCATTGAAAATTCATTTAAAAACAAATTATGACAATCAAAGGAAACAAAATAATTATACAAACTTGATCAAAAAAAGAAAAGAAAAAAAAAGAAGGAAAGCCAGGTCTCTCGTATGATAAGAGATAACATTATTTTGACTTTTAACGAGGTGAAAGAGAAAGAATAAAGAGAAATAGACAGAGAAATGACGAGTAATATGGGTTCTCCATTTACATGATCCATTTAATATGATTAGAGATTAATTGAAGCCTTGTTTGAGAACAAATTATTTTAATGATTTTTTAATTTTTTATAAAAAAGATGTGTAAAAATATAAAAAAAAAATAATATAGCAACTTATAACAAATTTTTTAATTTTTTTTTGACTAAAACATATAACTGTTGAACAAGACCTAAAAGTGCTCAATTAAAAGTTCAAAATATTTTTGTTAGATAATGTCTCAATGGGACCACATAATTAAATGTGGTGTTATCATTTATAAGAAGCCTATAATTTAAGTGATTCAATTTAGTTAATAGGCTTAAGGGTATATGTGTTATGGACCTAATGTGTAGATACTAGTTGTATAATTTCTATTTCTATGAGGGGCAGAAATAGAAATTAAAACATAATGGTTAAAGTTGGTTTTCATTCCTTTTGAACTTCCACAACCTTTCAGCTTTGAAAACCAGTAAATAGAAATCAAAACCAACAATGGTTAAAGTTGGTTTTCATTCCTTTTGAACTTCCACAACCTTTCAGTTTTGAAAACCAATAAATAGAAATTAAAACCAATAATGGTTAAAGTAGGTTTTCATTCCTTTTGAACTTCCACAACCTTTCAGTTTTGAAAACCAATTACAACCTCTAAAAGGTTATGGTCCCTATGAAATTTAATTTTTTAACACTCTCAATATAAGTCAATTCAAACAAGATGTCACAAAAGTGATCTCTCTTGTCTAGATTGTTTTATATGGAATGTTTTGAAGTTCATGTCTGTGTATCTCATGCGGGTATTTATCGGTCCAAAGACATGATTAAAACTT